CTTGATATTGAAATTTTAATTTGTTTTCAATCCCTGGAACTGAGAGTAGCACAAGCAATTGAATTTACAACAAACCAGCTGATTAAGATTTTTCTCAGAATACTGATTTTTAGATTTAAATTGATAGAAAAACATGAATATATTCGTGTTACTCTCTATAAAGTAAAATGTATTTCAAAGCAAAGTTTAGCAACCAACTTAGTTCCTTGGTAAATAGGTAGGAAAGCAGGATACAATTAAAATAGTAGCAATAATGATACTAATAGTACAATATAATATCGATATCTACAGACTTCACTTAAATACAATATTCCATCAGTGAACTTCAGTTTGTGTTACAGCACTTTTACCTCTTTTCCTTCGTTCCAGTTTTCTATTCCATTCCCACCAGTCCCAATATTTGAAAATATCAGAACAGTTTTTGATGATATGAGTTTATAGACAAAAGAGGGAATTATCTCCCTATTAATATGCTGCTTGAAATCTTTCTAATACTACTTAAACCAAGACTGAATAAATCTAAGGGATTTTGTAGGGGCATATACAGAAACATTGGGTTTTGCCTGTTCTCAGATTGTATACCATCAGAAACTAAAAGTGTGCTATTGGAAGAATGTTCCTAATTTTATTAGAGAGATCCTAGCAACTCTTAAGAGTTCCTAGCAACTTTGGAGACCAAAGAAACTTCTTTGTGCAAAAATATTTATTACCAACTTTAAATGGTATATCAATTATGCCCTTTTTGAATATCGACAATCTAGTTTAAGAATATACGTGTCTCAGGATAATGCTGCCGGATCCAATCTGGGTCAATCACAGGGACCAGAGATTTTGTCTTCCGAGCTTTCAGACTTGTGCTGGAGCCCATCTTCAGGGAAATTCTCTCTAACAGTGCTTTTCTGTGTGATATTTATATGGTGCCTTTTGTATGTGGATTTTTAGATGCTGATTGGGAAGTGTTGATGGCTGGCTTTTAAATCATTGGCTGTTATCTGAAACTTCTGGTCCTGGTGACCGACCCAGATTGAATCCTGCATAATCTAGCTTACTTATGGGAACTTTATCCTTAGATGGGTCTTATTCAATCAATGTGCAATTACAGTTCCACTTCATTCAGAAGCTGCAGCTGGGTTCAAAATGTAAAAGCTATGTAGCTGAGTAGATTATCTGTCATAGAGATGTTATCACTCTCTTGAAGGAACTCTTTGGCTGCCAACTGACCTGGTTCTAGATTTTTCTTGTAAAGTATAAGGTTTTAAAACAATTCAGAAAATTCAGACTGTGATATGTTATACACTATGTCAGTAATGTCTTGGGAGATGTTTTCCTTGGACTGGTGTATTCCCTTCTGCAAATCAAGAGGTCCCAACTATTAGCAATATTGCTGATATGAATGTTGTATTATTTGAACTTTTGTTTTGATTTTCTCTCCCTTTCCATATTCTTGGTAATATAATTTCATACCTCTTGACTGTATTATTTATTGTTCCATTTTACAATTTGCAAATAACTTAATGATTTGCAAATTTAAATCTTTTTTGAGAATAAATCTTAATGTATGACATATCAGAGAAGATATATTATTAGTTAACATAGCTGATAGTGAAAATCAATTTGAAAAAAAATCCAGGTATATTTTTGCAAGTGTATCAGTTTGTGAAGGCTCACAACTCCCCCTCCCCTCTATATGTGTGTGTGCATGTGTGTATGTGTGTGTGTGTGTGTGTGTGTGTGTGTGTGTAACCTATTTTTGTAGGTTTTATGTGTGTTTTTCTTTTAGCCAGGTTTTTCCTACGTAACCAAGATTTTTCTACAGCCCTAGCTCAGTGGAGTCACAGCCACTCGATTCTGGGCTTTTTTTTCTTCTTCTGGCAGCCAGCAGGCCCTAGTCTCTCACTAGGCAGCATAGGGCCTGCTGGCTGCCAGAAGAAAAAAAAAAGCCCAGAATCGAGTGGATGTGACTCCACTGAGCTAGGGCTGTAGAAAAATCTTGGTTACGTAGGAAAAACCTGGCTAAAAAAAAGCAAAACACACAAACACACACACACACACACACACACACACACACACACACACACATGTGTGTGTGTGTGTGTATGTGGTGTGTATGTGTGTATATAAATATATATATATATATATATATATGTCTTTGGTTATTCGGGTCTCTCTCCCACGTAAAATTGGAAGTGTCTTGGCGACGTTTCGACGAAGTCTCATTCGTCATCTTCAGGCTGGTGTTCTCGGCTTCGTGCTTCCAGGAGCTCCTGGAAGCACGAAGCCGAGAACACCAGCCTGAAGATGACGAATGAGACTTCGTCGAAACGTCGCCAAGACACTTCCAATTTTACGTGGGAGAAGACCCGAATAACCAAAGACCTACATACAAACACCCGCGAAAACCTGAGAAAACAAATATATATATATATATATATATATAAATATAAATATATATATATATATATATATATATATAATATATATATATATATATATTGTTCTTTTTAATTCATAGGTAAATGTATAATACTTTTTTGTCAGGGTTTTTTCCTATGTAGCTCAAGATGTTTATAGCCATAGTGGGGTGATTTTGATATATATGGCTACATAAACATATATGATATTCTTGAGCTATAGGTTGACAAAAGTATTATATATACATACATACATACAACATACATATGTGTTGTGTGTGTATGTATGTATGTATGTATGTATGTATCTTTATGTGTATTTCTCTTTAGCCAGGTTCTTCCTACGTAAACCAAGATTTTTATGCAGCCTTAGTCTCCTAGTCTCCCAAAGGGCAGCAGGGTGCTTGCTGGCTGCCTGAAAAAAACCTAGAAACTAGTGGATTGTGATTTCACTGAACTAGGGCTGCATAAAAATCTTGGTTTATGTAAAAGAACCTGGCTAAAGAGAAATACATACATACATACATACATATACATACATACATACATACTTACATACATACATACATACAAACAATAAGAGACTTTTTAAGTGTAGTCTAGAGTACTACAGAAGTACAAAAACCTGAACTGATATAATGAATACATAAACAAAGAGCACAGAAAAAATAATTATTGTTGATTATTCATTCCTGCATATTATAAAATTCATTCCTGTATATTATAAAATTCATTCCTGCATATTATAAAGTTCATTCTCATAATGCTGAGAAAAATCCTATGAAATGGCAGAAGTCAGTACATAATTCCCTGTATGTTTCTTTTCAGTGCATGGGAAGCATGTACAATGATCCCCAGTTGGATCAAAGATCTTTTTATCAACAGATTACCACTATAAACAATCCCACATGAACACTGTAACCAAAGCTCTAATTTCCTGATCTATAATATATTGATAAAGGGCAATTTATGAATTATTGAGGAGAAATAGGACACAAATAATGTTCTTTTGTATAGTGACAATTTTGTCAGTAGATTTAATTGTCAGGAATGCAACAAATCATAGTCTCCTTTTTTAGGATGAAAAAGGCAACTATAGGCAAGAATGTCAAGATTATACATTAATGATAGTCATTTTTTTCTACTTAGTCCCACTAATGAATTTTCAACATCTAAAATTCAATCTATATTTTAAATTTGTTTGAACTAATATATTGTACCACCACTAAAATTATAAATCACATATTTGACAGGACCTTAGAATATGAACAAGCCAAAATTTATAAGGAAGAAAGTTGGATAAAGAAATATTTCAGCTATAGGAACCTGGATACGATTAATATTTTGATTATAAAATCATCACACAATACAACTATTACACTGATTCACTCTCTTGTTACACAATATCCTTTGCTTTTCTCCCCTTGTATATCTTTCATATACTCCAGATATACATTATAATACCCTTCTACCCACCAAGCAGATTGATGGTGGGAGGGAGTGACAGTAGGGATTTTAACAAACTTATCCATTGTCAACTTCTAGTGGAAGAACTCCAGTGGATCAAACTCACAATATTTTAATCTCTCTCCCCCTCTCTCCCTTCCTCCCTCCCCGGGTGTGTGTGTGTGTGTGTGTGTGTGTGTGTGTGCATGTGTGCATGTGTAAACATTGCATCATCTCATTCAGTTACTTTGGCAATAATAAAATTAATAGATTAAAAGTTAAGGTCAATCATACTATTTTACTTAGTTTATCATGGTATGGAATGGAATTATCAGACAACTGATGGAAGTATTTTTTTTAACTGTCATTGTCTTCCTACACATTTAACAGTTTGTGAACCCAGGTTTGCAAAGTTTGTAGTCCACATAGACTCTATCCATTTAATCTTTAAACATCAAAAGAACAAAACCAGATGTGTTATTGAATCACTCTATCTTTAGTCTTTTGTTTTTCTTCTTTTTTTTCCAGGCTAAAATTTACATTGTATTTTCCCAAATTTTAATTTATTGTTGTGTTTTATTTTTATTATATTGTGAATGTTGTGGGTTACCATCTCATCTTATATTTTTACAATGCACACTGTTACAATAATCTCCTCAGTTCTCCAAACAGCTATACTGATGGTTGTTCAAATGTGTGATTCACAGAAAAGCATCCCTGGCTATGCTTTTATTTGGACAGCAAAATTTTAAAAAATGAACTAAAAAACTTCTATGAATTCGGGTAAAACATATCTGAATTATTTTACTATTTTTTGGGGGGAAGGAAATTAGATACCCAGGATCTTGTATATCACCTTTCTTTGAAGGCAGCATCCAAGGCTGCATTCTTTTAAAATAGAAACCTAGTTTTTAACCAAATAGCCAAATAAACCAAAATGAAAGCTAGAGGTTTTTCTCTCATTTAATGCACAAAGTAACTAGATTTTCGGAAGGACTAATCCAATTTCTCAAATTTAATTTTGGAAAGATGCTACATAATATCCATTATACCAAACACTGTCCCAGAGATTGGATTAGTAGGCTCCCTGGACCTGCTTATTTCTGAACTCAAAGTGCAGCACAGCCTGGATAAATGAATTACCTGAGCAACGGAACTTCTTGCTCTTGATCTGGCTGATTCGTTTGTTGGCAAGACGACGCGGACTGCTGCACCGAGCTCCGCTGGTTTCTATTGGATTATCCTGCAGGTAATCAGCCAGCCACTTCAAATGGCAGTCGCACACAAATGGATTTTGAGCTAAATGCCTGCAAGAGGGATGGGATGTTTAACCAGAAATGACCTGTGACACTGTACTCCATCATTGTTTTTAGAAATACACAACTGAAGAGCAAAGTAATTGAATCAGCTTCCAATACACCGGGTCTGGCAGAAGCTGGATGGAGTTAAGATTTGTGTGGGGGATATTCTGTGAGCCATCTCATTTTTTTTTTAGCTTGTTAAGTCAGCAGTGAGCCTTCTCCAGAAGGAAACACAAATTAATATAACAAAGTCGCTTTTTAAAGGGCATAGACCTATTGTCTACAAAAACTGGTCATGATATATTGCAGTCAATCTTTTTAGAAGGAAAAAATGTAAACTATTTTTTGGGTCACAAAAGTAACACTTTCTAGAGATTGTATTGTAAACCGGTATACCTCAGGGCACTAGGGAAAGATGTAGAAGAATCAAAGGTTTCTATCAGCAGAGAAATTAAATTCTAATGAATTTCATCTTTGGATGATCTAAATCTTCAACAAATCAGTATATTCTGTTACTTTTATTAGTATTATTTCATTGTTTGGTCTAGATAAAATTTCTGAATTATTTATCAATACAGAAACTTTGGAAGCATTAGAAGAGCTAATATGAATACTTTATAATTAAGATTTTTTTAAAAACAAATATAATTTATAACATTAAAACGAGAATAATTTAATGGAAATGTTTTAACTACACTGAAAATGTAAATTAATGGAGGAGGAGTTTACATATAGGGATTGTCTGCTCCTTAAGGTAGGTTTGGACAGGAAAGAAGTAGTTGAAATCTACTTTATTTATGATAATAGAATTTTGAAATTCTGCCAGCATTTCCCTTCTCTTTGTTTTATAATAAAGAGAATTAAGGTGGGACAATCCTCAAATCTTTCTCTTGCTTTCTAGTTTTTACAAGCTAAATTTATGTTTCACTAATGGTCACCAAGGAACTGCTGTGCCAGAGATATGAATTTGCCCATTATTATTCTGCTTTAGTTTATTTTAATATCCCCAAATGTGGAAAGTGTCATATAGTTTAAAGATGTGAAAATGATTTTGAATTATAGACCAAATATGAGGAATATATCACCATATAGTGAACTATAGATTTGCTATGTGTGAGATATAACAAAACAAATTATTCATTTTGAGTGGAAAGATATTGCTGCCCCAGATTTACAATATTGGATTGTTAACTCTCTGCTTATGAATTTGTTATTTATTAATATAATCGAAAGACTGATACATGTTACTTTGTCAAATTAAGGTTTAATGCTGTATATCGGTTTTCGTTTATTGTTTGTTTTCCTTTTTCATACTAAAGCAATATAATAAAAATGGGTATAAACATATAAACACAATTGTTTCAGGAAAAACACCTTCTGTTTGATGATAGCTATTGATTAAACAACTAACTATAAACATTTAACAATTATTTATGTTTTTCAACTTGAATTGTATAATCTCCATAATGGGGTATTTAATTATGGAGTGGAAAGATGTAATGCTCTAAGTCTAAGCCATGAGTTATTATTGTCAGCTTGTGCACATAAAATGGCTCATTACTTAGGGCAGGTATCATTTTGAGGAAGTTTCAAATGACAGCCACTGACACAACTATTTTGTGGGAAGATGTTGTAAGCCTAGATGGCTTTGGATACCAATTAATAGAAGGCACAATCACATAAAATTTCAACAATTTAAATTGATAAGAAGAAGAGTGGAAAGATGCAAATAATCCTAAAGACCTAACCTAGATAGATTCTTCTAGTAATATTTTACCAAAACATTCTGATGGAGCCAAGCAGCCTAGGGGTTTTTTTCTCCATTGTTTAAAAAATTTCAAACTATTTCCATGAATCCAAGAAACTGTCAAGAGCTGGTGCATATATCATGTAAAAATTAATCAATGTTGATCTTCCCTTAATCCTTGCATCTTGATACTATCCTTTAGGTATAAAACATAATGAAAACAAATATGTATCAAAATGAAAAAATAATATTTTAAGAGCTACATAATCAAAAAAATGTATGATAATATGATAGTATAACTTGGGGAGAATAACTGAAATGAAATTAGATTATCTCTGAGAAATACCATTTTATTAGCAAACGATTCTGAATATTTTACTTGGAAAATATTAGGAAAAAATACTAAAGAGATATAATCTAAGAGAAAGACACAAGGAAGTTGGAAATTCACTTTTGAGATGATGTGACTAGCAGGAAAAAGTAATCAAGGAGAAAATGTTTGACAAGATGTAACTTATCTGGATGTGCCTATTGCTCATTTAGTTTAGTTTAGTTTAGTTTATTTGATTTGTATACCGCCCTACTCCCGAAGGACTCAGGGCGGTGAACAGCCAACAATAAAATACATAAATACACAAAATTTAAAAACCCGATAAAACCAAATTAAACTTTTTGGCCCAGACAAATTAAAATACCCCAATAATTTAAAAACAGGTTAAAATTTACATATTTAAAAAGGGAAGAGATCAGGCCAAGCCCGCTTGATGGAATAAAAAGGTCTTCACAGCACGGCGGAAGGAGCGCAGATCCGGGATCCTCTGTATCTCCGGGGGGGAGCTCATTCCAGATGGTAGGTGCCCCCACAGAGAAGGCTCTCCCCCTAGGGGCCGCCAGTCGACACTGTTTGGCTGACGGCACCCGGAGGAGTCCCTCTCTATGAGAGCGTACTGGCCGGTGGGAGGCTATTGGTGGTAGTAGGCGGTCCCGTAAATAACCAGGCCCTAAGCCATGGAGCACTTTAAAGGTGGTAACCAAAACCTTGAAGCGCACCCGGAAGACCACCGGGAGCCAGTGCAGCTCGCGCAGGAGAGGTGTTACATGGGAGCGCCATGTCGCTCCCATTACCACCCGCGCGGCCGCACTCTGCGCCAGTTAGAGCCTCCGGGTGCTCCTCAAGGGGAGCCCCATGTAGAGAGCATTACAATAATCCAGGCGGGAGGTGACGAGGGCATGAGTGACCGTGCGTAATGAGTCCCGATCCAGAAAGGGACGCAACTGGCGAATCAGGCGGACCTGATAAAAAATCCTCCTGGTCACGGCCGTCAAGTGCTCTTCTAAAGACAGCCGTGAATCTAGGAGGACGCCCAAGTTGCGAGCCCTCTCCGTGGGCGCCAATGATTCGCCCCCAATAGTCAGTGATGGCGTCAACTGGCTATATCGGGACGTCGGAAACCACAGCTACTCGGTCTTGGATGGGTTGAGCCTGAGCCTGTTCCTCTCCATCCAGATCCGTACGGCCTCCAGGCACCGGGACATCACTTCAAGGGCATCGTTGGGGTGATCCGGGGTGGAGATGTACAGCTGGGTGTCATCAGCGTACTGATGGTACTCCACCCCGAAACCACGGATGATCTCGCCCAGCGGCTTCACATAAATGTTGAACAGGAGAGGCGAGAGGACCGACCCTTGCAGCACCCCACATATGAGGGGCCTCGGGGTCGACCTCTGTCCCCCTGTCAACACAGACTGCGACCGGTCAGAGAGAAAGGAGGAGAACCACCGCAACACAGTGCCTCCCAGCCCTAACTCTTCCAACCGGTGCAGCATGATACCATGGTCGATGGTATCAAAAGCCGCTGAGAGATCTAATAGGACCAGGACAGAGGAGCACCCCCTGTCCTGAGCCTCCAGAGATCATCAACCAACGCGACCAATGCCGTTTCCGTGCTGTACCCGGGCCTGAAGCCCGACTGGAACGGATCCAGATACGTCGTTTCATCCAGGTGCTGGGGGAGCTGTTGCGCAACCACACTCTCAACAACCTTCGCCACAAAATGAAGGTTGGAGACCGGACGATAATTTACCAACATTGCCGGGTCCAGGGAAGGCTTCTTGAGGAGAGGCCTCACCACCGCCTCTTTCAAGGCGGCAGGAAAGACACCCTCACCCAGCGAAGCATTTATAATCCCCTGGAACCAGCCTCGTGTCACCTCCCGAGAAGCCAGCACTAACCAGGAGGGACACGGGTCCAATAAACAAGTCGTCGCGTTCAGTCTACCCAGAATCCTGTCCACGTCCTCAGGGGTCACAGGATCAAACTCATCCCAGATAACATTCTCAAGACCTGCCCCAGTCCCTCCCCCTGAGACTATCCAGTCGGAGTCCAGATCTTCCCGAATCTGAGCGATTTTGTCATACAGATATTGAACAAAATCCTCGGCTCTACCCACCAAGGGGTCCTCCCGCGTTTCCTGGTGAAGCAGGGAGCAGGTCACCCTAAACAGGGCGGCCGGGCGATTATCTGATGACGCAATAAGAGCAGCAAAATAGCTACATTTCGCTGCTTTTATCGCCACTAGGTAATTCCTAATATGAGCTCTTACCAGTGTCCGGTCAGATTCAGAAAGACTGGCCCTCCAACTACTCTCTAGGCATCTTTTTCCGGTGCTTCAATTCCCTCAGCTCTTCAGTGAACCAAGGAGCTAAATGAGATTGGCGCCGGGTCAGAGGCTGCAAAGGCACAACCCGATCCAGAGCTCCAGTGGCCGCCCTATCCCAGGCGGCCACTAGGTCTCCAGTCGAGGTGTGTGCCAGAGCCTCAGGGAATTTGAGTTTGCTGCATACTTACTACAATTGTCTGTGAAACTGGAATGTACCACACCTATAGCAATCTAATGCAATTAAATCTAATTAATTCAATCTGCTGCAGAATCTATTTCTGTCAGTGTAATGTGGATGATGAGTCTCCTTATCACTGAATTCACTTTTGCCATGTGATATCAACATTATTGATAGAAGAGAATATTTGTAGCTCAGGGCTGAAGTGTGGGGTCCTTGGTGCTCCCTGAACTTGGTTGCTTTATTGCAGATGTTTCATTATCAAACTAGGTAACAATATTGCTAAAAGGGAATGAAGTTTGTTCTCTGTTTCTTGTATATACTAATGGCTTCCTTGATAGTATTGTTGTAAGTATTAATAGTATTGGTGTTAAGTGTTCTTGGGATTTCCTTGATTAGAGTGCTGTTTATTGTTAGCTTGTTTGTCTGAATTGGTAATTCCTTGATTGGATTATTTAGTTCTTGATAATTGGTCTAGGGTTAATCATGGAGTTAATATCTGCTCATCTGAGTGTTAATTGCTTGTGAGAAGGTGTTTTAGTTTCTTTCCCTTTGAATATCTTTAAAAGATTATCTATTTCTAACAATCAAGCTCAGAGAATGCCAAGGTCCTCACAGAACAACATTATCTCTAGAACAAATTAGTCAATTAAAGAGATGTGGGAAAGCATGCAGGAAAAGCAGAGGGGAAAAGATCTCTTCATGTAAGCGGGCTCGACAAGGTTGGATTATGCCTAACATGGGAAGATGTTATTAAGTATTTTATGCAGCTGCCTGAAATGGAACCAGACTCCAGAACAGTAGCCAACACTTCCACCATTGATACAACACAAAAAACTTGCTTTAGAATACTAGTTTATCAGTATCCTAGAGCAAAATAATACAGTTTAGAAAAATCAGCACAGCAACAACCCAATAACATGAAGCAGATTTGTGATAATTAGCAAATCTAAAAGAGAAGCAAAAAATTATTCTCATATGATGATTACTTAGAAAAAAAAAAAGCTAGAGAAAGCAAGTTTCTTGAATTCTTCCCATTCCTTTACAACCAACAGCCATAGTAGGCATTTGTATTTTCTTTTCTGTAACAACTAAAGTGAGAAATCTGTGTGGTTTGTCGTATGATGTGTGCACTAAGAAGTCCAGAGCAAGCAGTGTAACGGCTACTCTGGGTTATGTGACCAAGTTGGGACAGGAGAAGTGTTCAAGTATGCAGTAGCTAGAAGCATTTTCAGTTCCTGCCCAACTGCCTCCCCTACATTTTCAAAATTCCATTGGGTTGAAAAAAATACCAGTGAAACTTGTTTATTGGATTGGGCTTTTTGGCAACTGATGAAACATAACTATATAAATCCATTCTTAAGTCCTCTGATTGTTTTAATCAAGAATGAAAGTAGCATAGAACATGATCTCTTTGTTTTTGAATTAAAAAAGGAATGTAGAACAAAATGCAGAATTTGAAACAATGCCAGAAATTCTGCCATTATTCTCTTTATTTCAGTATTTTAACTTCTTTCTGTTATGTCATTTGTCTAATTTTCTATTGTTTAGACTTCTATAACTTGAGTGTGTGTGTGTGTGTGTATGTGTGTGTGTGTGTGTGTGTGTGTGTGTAATGGAATTATTTAAATGTTTGGTTTCTTCTTCTCCTATATACTATGTCTCAAAGTTAGCAGTTTGGGCAGGATCAAAGATTAAGATAAGACTTTCATTTATGGAATCATATATAGGATGCACTGCCTGAGAAAGATGGAAGAATACAGATATAATACTGGATACTCACAATGTTTGAATTGATTGAAGAGGAGCAAAAAGTCCTTTGCTGATAGTCTGCAGTTTATTATCATAGAGAGATAACAAATTAAGATTATGCAGATCTTGAAATGTGTTTACTCTCAGGCAGTTGATCTTATTTGCATTGAGAAGCCTGTAAACAAACAAAATATTTTTTTTCAATACATACAATCTTGAAAACAAGATTTAAGAGATTAGTCTCGGACCAAATGCTATATATAATATGGAATTAAAACCTTTAGTACTGCTATTTATTGATCAGATTATTAATTTATTGGTTTGTAGCCTTACAATTTTTTTCCAAAATGACTTACAAGTTAAACATATGTAACAATATTATGAACATAATAACAAACCCCCATAAGAATGATGTTATTTATAATATTCAGTCACAGGTAAAATAGGAGCCACTTTGATGTACTTATAAAGGAAGTACCACAATCTAGACTCTGCCATTGAAAAACTGTTATCTTATGTTTCCATCCATTTCCCTATTCATGGTTGCAAAGCATTTGAAAACAAAATTTAAACCACACCCAGAATTGTATAACATTAATCTTGTTATATATCACATTCCCAAATCCTTAAGGGCATAACAGAGCAGTGTCATCATGAATAATACCTAGAAATAATTTGGTGATATGTGCAACTAGTATAAGGCTATACTAATGTGGTAAGCAAAGTATATACCAAAAAGTGATTGCACAGTTCATATCAGAAGTCTTAATGAGAAGTAATTAAAGCACAAATCTCTAAATTCAGATCAAAGTTCTTTAGAGACGGGCATTACTGGCCAGAGCATCCATTATGTTTATTGTCGAGAATACCTGGTCCATAAATCACCCAATTTTGGAGAGAGTGTCATACCATCCCCAGTTGTTATTATCAGATCAGATTTTTCTATTAAGGACATCCATATTACCAATTAAAAAAACACCAGATTGAGCTAGGTAACTTCACCTTATTTCTTATATAGCTAAGGATCAAAGTACCAAAGGATGGTCATATCCCAAACTGGACATGAACCTAAATGGCAAAGATATAAACAATCAGCTTCACTGTTTATTCATCAAATAAGCAAGGTTCTCACAGAAGCTTCTCTAAAAAGTGAATATTTATAGTATAAATAGTATTATTTATTTGATGCATATCCTGCCTTTGCTTTGAACATTCAAGGTGGTATATATAATGCTCCCTCTTCCTATGTTCCTTACAACATCAGTTATTTGAGGTGAGTTGCACTGAGAGTGAGTAAGTGATGCAATATCAGTCAGCCAACTTCTGTGCCTAAGAGAGGACTGCAACTCATTCAGCATTCCTGCCCAATTATTTCCACCATTACACTGGAATCTCTCTCAATATTTGGTTCTGAAATCTCAAAAACTCTAACTTTTAGAACCAATTTTATAGCAATAGCAATAGCACTTAGATTTACATACCACTTCACAATGCTTTACTGCATTCTCTAAGCAGAGAGTCAGCATATTGCCCCCAACAATCTGGGTCCTCATTTTACTGACCTTGGAAGGATGGAAGTCAATCTTGAGCAAGTGAAGATTGAACCCTGGCAGTCAGCAAAATTAGCCTGCAATACTGCCTTCTAACCACTGTGCCACCATGGCTCAAAACATTTGTTATTAAAAAAAAATCTTGCTACAACTTTTTCAAGAAATATATTTTTCAGTTAAACCTTTTCCAAGACATGCCAAAGAAATAGATGAGATAATCAGCAGCCTTTCTGCACATAATTATATTCCTGACTGATTGATTAATGTGACTATTACTTCATCTTTGCATTTCAGAAAAATGGGATAATTGAAAATATCATTAATTGATAATTAGTTCCCTAACGTGAATGATAAAAATGTGATCTGAAGGATAAAGAAACTATATTGCTATAGTTACAGTTCAGTTCATTACAGTCAAAGACCAGAATAAGTAATGAAGAAGACTGTAACTAGCATGTAATAGATGAGATCCAGGATACATCTATGTTGAACATCTATGTAGATTCTCATTCATCCACGTCATGGTTGTCCCAAAGGTGCTTTTTCAAGAGGCAACTGGACTTTCTGGTTTTTCTTTGAAGGCGTTTTGCTTCTCATCCAAGAAGCTTCTTGAGAGCGCTTCTCACTGGATATTATGAGAATTATTAAGTAAGTATATATGTTGAGTTTTTGAAGGAAATGTAAAAAAATGTATAATAAAATAAACAAGCAAGCTACCGAGATTAGACATGGATTTTTTAAAAATGGTGACTTTATGTAAATGAATATTTAAAAGAAATACATTTGTAGTCTTATTTTGTTTTCATTGCAATAGTGTTTAAGCTTACTGTTTTCAATATTTGCTTATGTATTTTCACAGAAAGCCCACCGTTAGGCTGAAAAATCAATCATGCTAAAGGGTAAATGATTTCCAGTTTCTCCATTAGTCCTCATAAGAATTAAAGGTAAAGATAATGGTTCCCCTTGCACATATGTGCTAATCGTTCCCGACTCTAGGAAGCGGTGCTCATCTCTGTTTCCGAAGCAGACTGTCCAAAGACGTCTCCGTGGTCATGTGGCTGGCATGACTAAATGCCAAAGGCGCACAGAACGCTGTTACCTTCCCACCAAAGGTGGTCCCTATTTTTCTACTTGCATTTTTTATGTGATTTCAAACTGCTAGGTTGGCAGAAGCTGGGACAAGTAATGGGAGCTCACCCCATTACACAGCACTAGGGATTCAAACCGCTGAACTGCTGACCTTTCGATCAACAAACTCAGCATCTTAGCCACTGAGCCACCGCATCCCTTGACCTAATTCTAAAACGTCCTTGACCTAATTCTAATAAGAATTAGGTCAAGCTAAATTTCACAGTTAGATATCTAAGTACATCATTTGGGCTAAACGTCTGTGGTAGAAACAAAAATATATCAGTGTACATCTTGTTGGTTGTGTTCAATGGAAGACACTACAAAGTATTTCCAAAAACATAAAGCAGCAAAGATATATATGAACAATCTTCAGCTAAATCAAAATGCTTATATGCAATTAAAAGTTATACTGGATTTGGAAAAATATATTCAATTTATTGTTACATAAATTTGCATTACAGTCAACACTGATTCTCTCACTTGGCAGCTTGTGAAAGCTACAATAAAGTATAAAAATTAGAAGCAATATATAGTTGAAAGCACCAAAGGTATTTTTATCACTTTGATGGAGAATAATAATTTTAATATAAGCGGCTAAAAGGCAGAAAAAGTCTATCTAGGAGAACTCTGAGAAATAACTGTTCAAACTATGTGAATTTATTTTTAAAAATAGTTTGAAAAGTTTTCCGATGATATACTACCACAGTTAGAATATATGCGTATAAATTAACATTCTTGGTAATATTCTATCATCTCTGCTATTTTTGTTTTTTAGTTATAGTAGTACAATTCTTTAGTTTTTTTACTTAAGAAATATAATCTTTGCTAGTCCACACCCCATTAGATTCAAATAATTTTTGATTTTTGAAATGTTGAAAAAAAAAAAGTAAGTTACTGCTTTGTATTTTCTTTCTTTTCTTTCTTTTTTTCCTACACTTCTAGCTTTTTCTTAACTGTCTTCACTTATTTGCTTATTCTTTACTTACTTCCTTCTATTACTTGTTATCTTTGTTGTTTAAAGTTTAATATTTTTTTTTTTTAAAACTACTCTCTTGGAACCATGGTCAGAAACACTGTATTTTTCCTTATATTCCTATACCAAATATATAGGTTTCTCTGACCCTCTCCAGACAAAGAGAGGATGTCAGAATACCCAAGCTTTGGTCCATATAATTGTTTCTCACAACGAGTCTGCAAAATAGTGGTCTATGAAGGGTGGGAGAGTGGGATGGGGTGGGGGGTGAAGGAAATTGCCACCCTTGATCCAGCTGCAAACATAACTTTTTCAAAGGACACTAAATTTGTACTCCCTTTGCTAACCACTTTTGAAACTTGCATTTTAACTGGTTAACTGCATCCTAACCATCGTTTTGGAAGTCTTTAAATAAAACAGGATTCTAGACTACATAACCTGATTAATGGGTTACCTATTTTTCCATGACAAAAAACTGTCAAATGATGTAAAACACCTAAAACAGATGATTTAAAACATTTTGCTTCTGGTGTGCAGCAACAAATAGCACCTTAGCAAATATTTCATTTTGAGACCACAGGTGGAAAAATCCCCATTTCCTTCCCTTAATGATATACTAAAATACTAAAATTATCAATTTGGTAAAATTTTATAAAATTTTATAAAACGTCACACCATTTTACCCCAAACTACTTTCACTGTATTGATAGGACTAGTCCTACAGTATATTTCAATGTTTTCAGTTTTGATAAATGAAACAAAATATTTTCAAGGTGCTCATCTTTGGTATATTTCCAAGGCTTCCCAATTCAAAATACATTTACCATTAAATATGAATTTTCAGGCATACATAGATCATCAATCAATATAAAATCTGGTGACACACAGTTATATTCCTGTTATATTATGTTTGTGTGTCAGTCAATCATGTGAGCAGTGCTCACTTTTTTCCCTTCTGCTTATCATTGTAAACTGCTAATGAATCCAGCAGAGAATAAGAACATAATGTACTTCAATATGCCTGTTACATTAAATGTGTATCTCATAATGTTCATTTTGAAACAATACAAATAGATTCAAAAATCACATGACAAGAAAAATGTTATCTTGGACAACTATGGCAAATAACAGCAGCATAAAATTATTTTGTTATTCATAGAGAAAATATATTGGGGGCTTAACTTGTATTTATTATAGTTAGACAGAGTCTTTTTCTTTCTTTTTTTTCTTTCCCTTTTCTTGTCGGTAGAATATCTTTTGTTAGAAGGCAAAGTGGGACCTAGGTGGGGTCTTTTCTGCTGTGACCACACTTTGCAATCTTTTTCTTTCTGAAAGAAAGGCCTCATCACTTCTAATTTCAAAAGTCCCTCAAAATCTGGTTATTCCATATCAACTAGTGAGGTGACTCTATTATTATTAATGTTCTTTTGTCTATTATTTCTTTATTTTAGCTTTGTTCTTAAAGTTTATTTTTTTAAAAAAATGATAATATTTTTAGGTATTTATTATTTTAGTTTTCTGGACGCCATCCAGAGTCACATGCTTTAATGAGCATCAATATGCATAATTTTAAGTAGAAACGTTAAAAAAGGGACAGGTATTATTTGCCTGTGATTCCATATTAAGGATACCATAATAATTTATGTATTGCTCTGTGAATCCTACATGTCACAGAATTGTTTAATCCATTCAGGAATACTATTTAATATTTCAAAGCTACATAACACTTTGGGATTTATCAGAGAAATATTATGTTATGTTAGTTATGTTAACCAAATGTATGGAATTAGTAATACATAAAGTATATAATATCAGGAACATTTGATATCTCTTTCTGAATACACTGCTCATTTGAAAAAGCCTACAACCTTAAATAAAAATAATCTAATTAAACTCTATTAAATACTAAATTAACCAGAAAAACTTTTTAAACTGTCCAATGTTGGGTTCAAAATTCAAAGATCTAGCAAAAAAAAAGTACAAACTTGCAAAATCTTAAGTACAAATTAAAAGTTCATACCGTTGAGCTGTTAAAAATGTATCTTAACAACGTGAACAAGTCCAATTACATTGCTTTAAAATAATTATTAAAAAAGGAGTAATACTATTGTAAACTAAAAGTTAGACTAGAAATGCTTAGCATGAGCTAAATGAGGTGAGATAGAAAGAAGGTTCTCCACAGTGGTGGGTTTCAAAAATTTTTACTACCAGTTCTGTGGATGTGGCTTAGTGGACATAGCATGGCTTGGTGAGGGTGGCTTGGTGTGCATAGCAGAGGAAGGATACTGTAAAATCTCCATTACCTCCAGACTCTAGGGGAAGGATACTGTAAAATCTCCATTCCCTCCCCACTCCAAGGAAAGGTTACTGCAAATTCCCCATTTTCTCCCAATCAGCCAGAACTTGGGAGGCAGAAAATAGTTGGGGGCGGGGCCAGTCAGAGGTAGTATCTACCGGTTTTCCGAACTACTCAAAATTTCCACTACCGGTTCTCCAGAACTGGTCAGAACCTGCTGAAACCCACCTCTGGTTCTCCAGTAATAATATACAACTACCTTCCTATCCTACTCCAGAGCAAGCATAGATTAACTCCACGGTTAACATCAGACTATCAATCAAGTAAGCAATATCCCAATCAAGAAACTGCCAAAGAAGCCAACAGAAAACAGCCCAAACAAAGAATCCCTAAGACATACCCCTCCACCCACACAGACAGGCAAGCCACCAGAATATAAACTGAGAGCAAACAGCACTCTTCACTAGCACTGATGATGTTACCTAGTTTGGGTAATGAAATTTCTACAACAAAACAAGCAAACTCAGAGAGCACCAATAACCCCTCAAAATTGGAATTGTAAATTATTGTTGCAAAGTATTTGTCCACATCCTAATTTTTTTTTTAAAAAAAAATCTCTGTAACTTGAATTCCACATCTCTGTGTGCTTACAGCAGCATGCAGAGCATTTTGCAATGGTTTTAAAGAATATTAGATATAGTTTTATGATACTTATTCAATGGAAAAGAAGAACATAATTACATCAGCTACCAGCAAAAACAGTACAGGTAGCCTTTGACTTACAACAGTTCCTCTATTGACCGTTTGAAGTTCTAACGGCACTGAAAAAGTGACCTATGTCTGTTTTTCACACATGACCATTGCAGCATCCCCATAATCATGTGAGCAAAGTTCAGATGCTTGGCAACTGCCCCACATTTATGACAGTTGCTGTGTTCCAGTTCATGTGATCCCCTTTTGCGACCTTCGGACAAGTAAGGCCAATGGGGAAGCCAGATTCACTTAACAACCATGTTACTAACTTAATAACTGCAATGATTACAAATGTGGCAACTGCAGTGATAACAAATGTGGCAACAAAGGTCGTAAAATTGGATAAAACTCACTTAACAAATGTCTCAATTAGCAACAGAAATTATGGGCTCAATTGTGGTCGTAAGTTGAGCACTACCTGTATACAATTTCAGAGACTTGTTCCTCATATCTTGAATAAAACAAAAACTGCAAATATGACTATAGAAAATTCTCAGGTATCTGAAATAATAATTATATATAATTCCATTGCAAAAATTAAAGTATTACAAAGGATCAACCAGATATGCTTCATACCTTTCAAAGCACTTTGAATGTATTGTTTATCAAAAAATAATCAGTTCAAGACCAGTATCTTTTAATAACTTTCTGAAGATCTGATGTTTTAATAAGGTTCTCTAAAATTATTTCAAACTAGACATAATCCAGTAAGAAACTGATCTACATGTTACCAAATATCCATATTTCTTAAGTCTATGTTACCAAATCAATCATGACATTTCATATTTCTGGTTCAGACACCAGTCTTCTCAACCAACAATAAACACATTAGCACAATTTCAGTGAGCAAGGTCATTATTTAGCATTTGTATACCCTGTGTTGAAATAAAATAAACTAAGATAATACTCACAATAACTGCAAAGATACAAGCCCATCAAAAACGCCCTTGGGAATCTCTGTGATCTTATTTCCATAAAGCACTCTGAAAAAAGAAAGAAAGGACAAAATAAACAGTATTCTCAAATCTAATGCTTATAAGAATTATCTCTTTAGACACAAGCTCTCCTCTCCACCTAAAAGTAGTATACTTCAGCAATGTAAGCAATATTAAAATAAGACTTTCAAATAAATAAGACATTTAAAACAGCCTTCAGGGTTGAAAATATTTTCAGAATGTACTGAGGTTTTTACGCTTCTTTTAACGTATTACATGAATAGCAATAGCACTTTTTTTTTATTTGATTTATATGCCGCCCTTCTCCGGAGACTCAGGGCGGCTTACAATGCGTTAAGCAATAGCCTTCATACTTTTGTATATTTTATACAAAGTCAGCTTATTGCCCCCACAACTGGGTCCTCATTTAACCTACCTTAGAAAGGATGGAAGGCTGAGTCAACCTTGAGCCTGGTGAGATTCGAACCTGCTGTAATTGCAGGCAGCTGTGTTAATAACAGGGTGCTTTAAACCTCTGTACTACCAAGGCTTTACAGTGCTTTACAGCCCACTCTAAGCAGACTCATGATATACTGTATTTAAAAGTTTGAATGTGATACAATTCAAAAGGGTCAAAATTTGTTACAGAATTGTCATGAAATTTCCAGTGAATTGAAAATAATGCAATTCATTATTACAGGCTAATGGAATTGTGTTTCCTCTGGATCACCATTTGGCTTATCAACTGGATTATGTGGGACTGTTGCAAACCTCATTAATGTATCCCATTTTACTTGTGTTCAACTGTCCATCAGAGGAAATTAGGTACAGATACAGATTAACAGAGTTGGAAGGGACCTTGTAGGTCATGTAGTCCAACTCCCTAACCAAGCAGACCTTACACCATTTCTGACAGATGACAAGCCAGTCTCTTCTTGAAAGCTTCCAGTGATCAAGCTCCCACAACTTCTGAAGGCAAGCTGTTCCATTGGTTGATTGCTGTCAAGGTGAAGTTGTGCCAGTTCATAATATATTATAAAACTGAAGGAATGCTTGCAAAGCTAGAGTATCACTTACTGTTTGGGGTTATTCAAAAAAGGCACACCCTTAAAATCTAAAATCCAAAGGAATGCACACATACCACCTTCCCTAATTTGAATCAGCACTGGAAGGAACATCTTTTCATAATTGCACCATTTCAAAATAAGCAGCAGCATTACGTTTCTGTTTCATGAAGTGCCAATCCTTGGTCTGTTTATTCAGACATAATCCCAATAGCTTCAGTTGGGTTTAAAATTGCGCTAGTTTAGAGTAGTTCCACTTTTGCCAAAACAAATATTAGGATTAAAAATTCAACTAAAGCATGAACACTTGAGAGACTTTCTTTTGACATTAAGATCCCAGGATGTATCTTGTTGAAATAACATTTCCTAGCCAAGAAAGAATTGCTTGTCTTCTTTTGCATGGCACATATTTACCAGTGCACAACTAATTGGCTGGCAAAGCTATGTACTCCCCAGAACATTTTAATGCATCCGAATCAGAGAACCATGATTAGTATTTGCTTGCTGCTCCATATATGTTGACATATTTATGCATTGTACCAGTTAATAGAACCTAAAATTCATCAGTTTTCCCAGCTAACTTTATTTTCTTATTTGAAGGCATTTGCATATACTTTATTTAAAAGTCATATTAGCATATCCTCAAACCATCTATTTAGGCTTTTAAAGACCCATAAATGTTATCCAAGGAAATGCAGAAGACAGTAGTAAAAGCTTGACAGGCACATTCTGAAGCTAAGCAAAAGCCTTTAGGGGAATGTTGGATATTTGTAAAGTCCAAGAATAAATGTCATATTTATAGAATAGAATACATGAAACAAAATTCAGCCTAGTCATTCAAGATAAAAATGATTACTGCAATAGGATATCATTACATTCATTCAACAGTATCTAATATTCCCTCATTCATTCAGTGATAACGTAAATGGGAAAGAAACAACAAATACTAACCATTTGAGCCAACCTATTCTAAGTTTTAAAAATTGGCCAAAAGAGAACTGTTCTATAGGATGAAACAATGTTTTACTTTTACACCAACAGGCTGAAATAAGGCAGAGTGGAAACTTGACCTGAGAGGCTGAGATAAAAGGGGTTTGCTGAGTGAAATTCCCACTAGCATCCAGTGTTTTGACCATTTACATTTTTAGGAATTGTATTTACATTTTTAGGAATTGTATTATCACTGCAGTTGGTAGGCTACAAAATCTGTCTTCAGTGATCACAGGATTATGCAAAACAAATTTAATCATAAAGGCATAAAGAAATACACAGTTAGATATTTTTATTTCAATATGGAATCTTGGAACTTAATGCCCTAGCTGCATCTATCTATCTGTGACTTCCTATAAGAGACTATAGAAAGTACCAATTTTCTTGCATGGTTAAACTAGCAATCTGCCATGTAAGGTAACTATCCTCCAGTCTATTCTATTTTGGCAGCGCTACCAATAAGCATTGTTGTTATATACTATTATAATAAAATTGACTAAGAGTTGAAAAGCATATATGTCTTGTGGAGAAAAAGAAAGTGCATTTCTTCATAAATTTGGTTATGTAATTGTGACCATTCAAGGTACTGTATTAAATATCAAGTATGTTGAAAATAAAATAAAATTTTAAATGGCTAACCCCTAAAACTACACTTTGCAGAAAAAAACTCCGAAGATTTTAATAAGACATGCACACATAAGAAAAAAAAATACTGAGTGAAAACACAAATTTAATTTTGAAAGCCGAGCTCACTAATATTTTATTTTACTCTTTCTATTGTCAGCTGAGTCCCTGAGAAGTTTAACAAAAAGCTTTGAGTTTTACCACGACTGAAACATAATTTAAAAGATTGCTTTCTTACTTAATCGGCAGTCTCTCTAGCTTTCAATTCCAAATGAAATCTCAGAATATAATATCATTAGGCAACTCTCCCATAGCGCTTTTTCATATTAGAAACTGTGGGCTGCCATGTGTAAAGAAAAAAAAAAATCCAGCACCCGTTACTATTCTGCAATAACATAGGAATAAACACTATTAAAAATATTAAACAGAATATTTATTCATTCACTCCATTCCTTAAAATTAAGAAGGAAAAACAGAAGCTTGTTTCATGGAGAAGAAAAGCTTTTGAAAAAGTGAACAGTACTAGACCCAGCCTAGTATTAATTCAGATATGCACATACAATCTGAGGGTTGAGTTTAGGAATAAGTTGATCACATAATTTATTGTATCTATTTAACTAAAAATAGTTACGCTGCTCCAGAAGAGCTTAATAGAGAGCCAAAGCAACATAACATGACTTACTGGATGTAATTCAGACATGCTACCAGGTGCTTTTATTTACTTCGGCATACAAGCAAGCCTCACTGCTAAATTGTAAAATTGTGCCTTAAACATTCAAAATGTAAAAATGAAAATGCTCTATTCATTAGAGAGGAACTATGAAAATGTAAATGAAAGAGAAAACATTCAGATGCAAATGTGGCAATCTCTAGCATACATAATAGGATTTCACAACATCAAGGTCCTTATGTTGGCTTTTCATAGACAGATGCATTGGCATAAATATTTAAGATTGGAGTGCCAACGAACTGAGTTCTAGGACTGTTGCCATATTATAATATTGTATTTATTTACAAGAAAAGTTTTGTGGCATTTAAATTAAATGTTTTTTTCAAAATAATCATAGACTAAAGCATATAATCTACTTTTTGCTTTCACTGGAAAATATAGCAATAGTTCAATGTTTAGAAGCCATCTTCTAAACTTCCTCTTGTTACTTGGCCAACTACTGATAATAAGACAATTATATTGTGTTGTAAAAAAGAAAATTGTATTACTTACAATCATCATATTACACACTATCTTTCAATAGTGTATAATAATATAACATAAAACATAAGGATTTGTAACATAAAACAATAATTTTAAAGAAATCCTTAAAGAACGAGCAAAATAAAATAGCAAGGGTTCCAAGGCAGAGAGAGGAAATTTTCCATTCATTTCCAAAAGAGACATGAAAAGAATATAAACTAAAAAACAAAGAAGAAAACATTTTGACACCTGTTCTTTATTCCTTGCAAAGAGTAGAGTTTCATAGAAGATAGAAATTGAATAAGATCGTTTTGGATAGGCTTATGTAATGATGGCCTTAAAGCTTCTTAATTAATTCAAAACTAATTTTGAAAATATGCTTAGTACTAATTCAAGCTCAATAAATATATTTTCTAGGTTCAGTTTGTTCTTGATCTATGGCCCTTCTGGAAAGGGTGACTTGGTTACAATAATTCATGTATTGAATCAGAATCAGAATCAGAATCAAGCTGGAAGGGAACTTGGAAGTCTTCTAGTCTGGCCCCCTGATCAAGGAGACCTCTACCGTTTCAGACAAGTGACTGTCTGTACATCAAGTTTGGATTTCTGCAATGCATTGCATGTGGGTTTCCCCCAGCAGTAGATAAAGGAGTTGTGGCTAGTGCAAAATGCTGCAGCTTTTTCCGAAGCAGGTAACCTTTTGCAAACAACTTGCAGTCTATTCTGAAGGAGCTGCTAATTTGTGATACGAGTCAAATTCAATGTACAAGGCTTAAACCTCAATATCTAAAAGAGTGCTTTCCTTTTAAATAAGACTGGCACCAGCTTAAGAATTTCCTGTTTACCTATTCAAACTGGTTCTGTATTAAATCTGAATTAATTTAATACTATCAAATCAATCAAGTCTTAGTTTTTAAACTTTTTATGATTTAAGTATTTTTTTATTTTAAGACTGCTTTAATTTGAATTATTTATTTTTTAATCAATATACTAAAACTCTTACCGTCATTAGCTTTAACTGGGCAAAACACTGCACCACAGGAGAAGAATTTTTTAAACCAAATGGTAATAATAGTCAAAATGTGGCCAATATCTGAGACCCATGATTCTCGTGGAATTGAAATTGAGCAAATTTTATAAAACAATTTTAATCATAAAATCATTATAAATAGTTTATGGCAGAATGCAACATGTCATAAAATATTTCTGTGCTTATTTTTGATTCTTCAATATGGCTATTTTCAAGACAATATACCCTAACTTTTCCAGCAAAGGCAGTAAATTATGGCTGAAGATATTGGGGTATCTATTAAGGAAATATCTCTGAAGGAATGACCAATGGGGTGAGAGTTGTCTAGCTCCTTATCATACCTTAACTGTTTATGTATTCCCCTTTGCTTTATTTTTTAAAACTGAAAAGTAAATTAAACATAACAAACAAACAAATAACCAATAAGTAACTTGAATCTTCTCTGATATTTGCTTATGACCTTTTAAAACTATCTAATTATAATGCTATTTATTACGTGTAGATAAGCTAAAAACTGTTTTAAGAGCCAATATTATCTGATTGTGGTTCCATCAGAGATTATTTATTGTTAGGGCATACTGCAGCCCAACCATCTTTTTGAGAAAGCAATAATACATAGAGTGGCTTTGATGAACTAAGCATATCATTATCAAATTAAATCTCAGTTTATTTTCCCCAAAACAAATGAGGATTTAAGTCCAATTCAGTAGACTGCTGTATGTTTGGTTGTCCCTAATAATATGATCTTCAATATTCAGAGAAATAAAAGTACAGATTGATGTTACTGTGGCCTAATAATTAACCTTCATACTGTGTTCATCTATAAAAGGAATCTAGATTTGCACAAACAATGGCACCTTCAGCTCAGATCAATTTCAATTAAAGAAAGGTTAGATCTTTCTACAAGGAGAAAATTACACAAGGAAAATGAAAGCATAACAGACCAATATTTAATCCACTTATTTTAAAGTTTTTTTTTTTAAAAAAACTCCCCTTCAAGGTTATTCTGTACTTACAGAGAGGTGAGTAATTTCAATCCATGAAAAGCGTCTGGTGCAATATCTGATATCTGATTCTTGCTGATATCACTGCAAGAAGAAATAAGAGAAGGCAAGACACAGATTTTTTTAAAAAAACTCCTACGCTTCTGAAAACTATGCTTAAAAAATTCTGGCACCCACTTTAGCTCTACTTAAATTGTTGTGTCTGATTCTTGATTATGTTGTTGACTGAAAAGATAATGAATTGTATAAGATAGTCTGGGCTCACTTCAATGAGGCAAAAATTCTTACTGCGGTGAAACATATTTTCCCCAAAAACGCTTTCTTTGCTTAAACTTTTGGTGAAGAAAAGAATCCGTTGAAACTTGGAACAGCCCTAGTGAATAGAAGTAATATAGTCACTTTCTGAAGATAGCACCACCTTACAAAAAGCCCATACAATTCAGCCAACGTTTTTGTGTCATTCTGTATTATCATTTTATGAATAAGCAATATATTTTACTATATCAAAACATCTGAAGTCAAGCTGTATAGTTATTTATTAGCACTAATAGTACCTATGGCTATTCCAATCTGAATTTCAGTCTCACATTTTCCCTCCCTTTCTAACCTAATATTATTGTTGTGGTCTCCACTTGTATTATACTGTTGACTGAAGCCCCAGCATCTCTGATCAGTCTGAGCTTCTCCTTTGGGATTTAAATTATTGAACTTTCTTTCTGCTTTATATGAAAAAGTCTTACAAGAAAGTGTTACTGTGCTGAAAGCAAAGAAAGAAAGAAAGAAAGAAAGAAAGAAAGAAAGAAAGAAAGAAAGAAAGAGCACTGGCTGCCTCACATGGTTTAATTACTCAATGTGAAGTTAATAAGAACACTGAGCATCTCAAACTGATTCTCAGGGATAGCAGAATTTCTTTGATGCTGGCTATGCACAACAGTATATATTGAACTTATAATAAGCAAATTCATCCGTAATCAATTGGGATTCTCCAAGTTAAAGTATTACACATTGAAACTTTGGAAGTTTGGAGAAAAGGACAGTTCAAACTCAATGTTGTTTTCATTCACAGTCTTAGAAAACCTGTGGTAACAGAGTTGCAAGATACTTTAAAAATAAATTTGCATACATATACCAAGAGAACATTTAATAAGATGTCCAGTGCCCAGGCTGGTCCAGATTTTGTTTTTTGGTTTTTTAAGAGTATCTTCTATTCCTGAGGGCTGAGTATGAGATCAAAACCCTTGAGCCTATCTAGCCTACCATATTCTCTCTTGGAATCTTGGATCTTTTGAGATACATGGCTGTGGAAATGGTGAATAAATTTTTGCACAATGTAATGGAGACAGTGTATGTTCATTCTTGGACAATCCCTCACTGGATTCAGAAGATTATGCCAATTACTGCTCAGGTTTAAATGTGCCTTTTTGTGACAAGATGCATAATATAATAGATTTATAGAACTATACCTATTTTTGGAATGCACTAATTATTTCTACTTTTTTCAATCTGGCTTCAGTTATGGAAATCGACTTTCATTACCATAATAGGTGACCTGCAGCAGAGAGGCACTTGAATCAAGATTCTGCTTGAATTGTGAGTAGCATTTATCTTCACCCACATGTTCCCTTTGAGTGTCAGTGACCCAGGGCCGGATTTTCCTATAGGCTAACTAGGCTTCAGCCTAGGGCCTCAAGATCAAGAGGGGCCTACATTCCCTACATTCAAATTGTTAGCAAAATTAAAATTACACTTTCACTATAGGTGAAAGGGCCTCATAAGTGGAATAGCCTAGGGCCTCTTTTCACCTAAATCCGGCCCTGCAGTGACCTGAGAATTAGGGAATTCTGATGCAATGGATCTCCTAATTTTGGGGACAACTACTGTTTTATTCCCAGTACTATTTATATGAAACCACTGGGAAAGGTATATATACTTAGGCAGCAATGATGACACTCAGCTTGACGTAATATGCATGTTCTAAGCCAATGTCTAGATACAGTAATGATGTATATGAGAGCAAATAAACCTAAACAAGATGGAGAGTTGGGAATTCAGGGGATAAGAATTGAGTTTGTTCTTAGTTGGGCTGCATTCCTTTAGGAAAAACAGTGACAGGGAGGAATGCCTATTACCAGCTTCATAAATAATGGCAGTTGTACTCTTTTCAATGTTGTTCATGTATTTAAATGCAGTCTACTTGGGCTACCCTTGTGTTTGATCTACACCAACTGGTGTAGAAAGCAGAAGCCAGGTCACTGAGTGAAACACCTAACTGTACCCACATTACACCAGTTTTGATGCAATTACACACATGGATTTTTTCTTTGCCCTATTGCTCTTCATTCTTATATCCATATGATACCTACTGAAGATATTTTGCTTCATCCTGGATGTCCTGTTTAAAATGTATGGATTTAAATGTAGTCCTCTGCATTCTGCCACCATATTCATTGAGACTCATTTTCAAAGAAGTGACTGTAATATTGACTATATTTTTCTTCATTTAAAAAATAAAGAATATCTCTACAATTTCTTGAATATTTTTCATGACCATCACATATATTTTAGTTCCGAAATCAAATTTAAGTAGACCTGTAATAGCACTTTTATGTTTTGCTCTTTTTACGAAACTCCCTTTTTACTATCAATGTAAATTTAGAATAATTATACTGAACTTGTCAAGTGTTTTCAACACCGACATTGGCATCAATATTAAAAAGATTACTACGTTGTTTTTTGAAAATTGAAGTTATTTCATGTCAAACTAAATAAGAATACTACTTTTGCTAGCAAATTGCACTTAGATAATTTTTCTTTCCAAGAACAAGGAACTTAAGTAAATTTAAATAAATAAATAAATAAATAAATAAATAAATAAATAAATAAATAAATAAATAAATCTTAAAACAGTTCATGGATAGTACAGAAAGGATAGAGTAGCTTATTTTAATGGTTTAATTGTCATGTAGTATTAGATACACTGCCTCCATAGCACTAAGAAGACACCCCCATTTTAATCCCTGCTGGGCTAAATTTATGAGTTTAAATACAAATACATTAAGTAGGTTTAATTTTTGCATGAGCAGTTTTCCTTTACTTTTTGTCACATCTTTTCTACTGTTTTATACTAGCTTGTCTCAAAGAGTGAACTTTTAGAAATACAAGTGACACTGCCAACAAACTCTACTTCCCCAACCTTGCTTCATGAGATAGAAGAAACTTGGGATAAATTTAAATAAATGTGGGCATTAAGGGGAGAACAGGAGGAGAAATCAGCCCATTTTTAAATACTGTACCTAGGAAATCAGCTTTTCTTCAGAAAGTAAAAACTAGAGGAATATGTCCAATTGTGTCAAATTCAAGAATTACACACACAATTTTGTATAAATATGGAATTCTGGATACCCTGGTGACAAAATTAGAACTTTCCCTACATGGCTGCCTCAAAGAATGGTAAAATATACTGAAAATATTAAGCATACCAAGACATTTAATTTACTTACATTCTTTTAAGTTTCTTATATTGAGAGAAGGCTCCAGGAGGAATGGCCTTTATGGAATTCTGCTCTAAACGGCTGAAAATAAATATGAAAAGCATAAATGCCAAAATTGCAAAGGTACACGAACAATCCTTGGTATTTCATTTTTATTATTTATATAACTTTTGCCAAGATAAAGCTTCTTTTGAAAATCATATTTAAGCACAACAAGCAAAAGCAAAAGAATCACAAAATATGGATTTAATATTATTAATAGCAGAATGAGAAACATTATAATAAGAAGCAGGAGTAGCATGTGTGGTCAATTGTTCCATATGCTTTCTATAAATGGAAATAGTGGCATAATAGATTTTCTCAGCAAAATCCAGGGAAATGTTGTGTCTTTCTAGAACAGATCTAAGATGAGAAATGAGTATATCAGAGGAACACAGGAAGCAAAGGTCCTGTTGAACAAAGATATTTTCACTTGTTCAGCATTACAGTTTAGATAGAAGGTCAAATAGAATATTAGATATTTAGCATATTGGACTATATGATCCCAAGGTCCTTTCAGGCCTTACATTCTATGATTCTAACATCATTATAAAATTGAAAAGGATAGTCTTTAATATATTCCATAATACTTTGTAAACAACTTTAAATTGTTTTTAGAACAGTGAATGTACTGTTGTACATTGAACTCTATTGTAGAGTTCTGAAAGATATCCTTGAAAAATATCTCACAGGCCTACAGTTCTGTGATCTTTTTTGATATACCAAGAATCAGGGTGTTTTTTTGTTTTTTTTTTAATCTTTGGGAGTTTTATTTCTGAGACTTCAACAACTGTTCAGGTCAAATGACAAGAACAATTTCCTTCACTTTCTCTAATAAAATTGAAAATACTGCACAGAACACACAGCAGCTTGATAGATTCAGAGATATTCTGAACATGATATAAGAGCAAGTCCCTTTATATTCTGGCTTTATTATTGTCTTTTAAATAACTTTTGCTATCCAGACCAGACTTTCAACAAAGCAATAAAAATAGCAAGCAAGAAAAAAAAATGTACTAAAAGCCAACAAATGATCTTCTAGCAATAAAAATCACAATATATCCTGTACAACTCTATTTCAAGGTTCACCATTTTTTGTTATCTCTCTATGAGTACTAGAACTCTACATCAAAACAATAAGGCAGCATTGTGTGTGTGTTTTGTGTGTATATGTGTAAAGGCACAGAAACGAATTCTGTCTTAAAGCCAGGGTATTAATTGGTAGTAACAGAACTGCGTGTAATTTACTGTATTGATAAATATATGTTATTAATATATGCATGTCATTTATATAGGAAAAATAATACAGATGGTTGACATAGAAGGTTACATTATATAGAAGAAAAAAATAGTATGGATATATAAATAAATACATGTCTGGTAATCCCTGTTATAATGTATTTAAATATGAAATTATGTTCCTTTTGGTGAACTATTTCCCAGCAAAGAGCTGGTGGTTTCAGATTTTAAATAACTTACTTAATTTCACTCATAAAACCACATGAACAGATAACTGCCATATCAGTGGATATGTAGCATGAGTGAATGCAAAAATGAGTCAATATAAAGAATAAAAATTCATCTCTGGAACAATCTCTGATATATAAGTTTGTTGACCAGAGATATGAAGTATACTTTTAAAAATGATTCAGGAAATCATGTGTGATATCCAAGATACAGATAAATCACCAATGTCTATCAATAACTTTTTATATTTTAATAACCATATTTGTATAGAATATCATTGCTTGATAGAAGTGGTAGTTGATTTACAACAAATAATTTACATAATACTAGAATCAAGCTTTTTCTTCTAGCTCAATGTTTAAATATTCATTAAATAACAAATAACTTGGCTTCTTACCATACTGTTATTAACTGTAAGCATATTTGTTAATTGATTAATACCGTGTTTCCCTGAAAATAAGACCCTGTCTTATATTTTTTTGAACTCTGAAATAAGCACTTGGCCTTATTTTCAGGGAGGGCATGTGGAACAAGATCCTGCCGTCTTATCCGATTTCCAGCTCTGCATTTAAATGTTTTTTGGGAGGGCTTATTTTCAGGGGGAGGCTTATTTTAGTGCATGCGCTCAACAGCCTGGTTGGGCTTATTATCAGGGGATGTCTTATTTTCGGGGAAACAGGGTAGAAGGTGGTTGATCAGTCAATCTTTACTAAGCTGTAAAACAAAATCAGTCTGTTGGTAGGTTGATGATGTAGAGGAACAGTAAAGCCTTTCCCTGAACAACTGAATGTGTTCAGTATCCATGAATGTTGATTCATGTTGTAACAGAAAAGAAAATATCTAGACTGAGGTATAAAGAACAATTTTTCTGAGGACCTTTTAGCTTCTATTGCTCGGAGCATGACATGCCTGACTGGCTGACTAGTACTTTCAGCAGCATTTTCTTTTACGTTCTTTTACGTTTCTTTTACGTTGAAAATAAGCATTGGATAAGTTCATACTTTATCATGCTACACTGTCTAAACTGAACAATTATGCTTCATAATTACACTTTATAGCTTGGTATGGTGTGTGAGCCCACTTTTTTTTCACTGCAGGTTTCCCAAAATAATAAATTTAAGATTTTGTTAAAGCAGGAATCCTAAACATAGACTGTCTAGCAGTCTCACCCAAAAAGGACATTAAGAAAGTAGTTAGTAACAGTAATATTCTAGAACCCATGTATGGATTTGTTGAACAATGATTTTTGGATTTGTAAAGGGTAAAGGGGTAAAGGCAGAAGTGAATAATGTGTCTAATCATATAGTAGGGATGAATAAAATAATTTGCTTGTAGTTGTTACAAGAAGGATCATGAGTTTTTTAAAAAAATACTTTTTCAATTTCTTTCTTTCTTTGTTCTTTTCTTTTTATTTGCACTTTGTATTACCTTTTTAATATTGTTTTATTATTATTTCTGAGCTTAGTTGGCCTTATTGTTTAGTGTTGAAAAAAATTTGCAAAGTTTTTCATTAAAAGTATTTTTTTTAAAATTGACTGAGTTTGTTATATTTATACCAGAAAGATGTGCTGACAGTTATCATGAACATCTTCCCTTGAAACCAGAGTTCCACTATATTTGCCCAAAAGTGTTAGGACTATGCCAGGTGAGAGGCCACAAAAAGAAGACAGAAGAAAAAAAACATTTGCTGATGTATTTTTAAGGAATCTCTCACTTCTTGATGTGAGATGATGGATCTTGAGAGCAAAAGACATGATGGAATCACTGGGAGCTTTCCATGGTGCTGCTTTGTTTTGTGAAGTTAATGCAGAAGAATCAAGTTGCAACTTCTTTTGGGATGCTCAAAAGTTATATTACCTGTCTATGTGAATGTATTTATATGTGCACACATTCATGAAATAGAGGCACTTATACTAGGCATTTCGTAATATTTTCATAAATTAGAAAACATTACTAAGCACTAATAAGCAGCTAAATCTTTCATAGCATTTGAAAAGACACAGTTGACACCACAAAAACAATAATAAAACAAATCAGAGAACAGATTTTCCATTGTGGAAAAGAACAATCAAAACACATTTTTCTATGCAATCATCTTCAGTAGATAACTGCTAGTTAGGATAATATTACTTAACTGATGCATTTTTTCTGGAAATAAGGCTAAAATACTGAGGCAGAAAATATGAAAGTATCAAACAAAAATACACATTATGCTACATTCTTGGCAATTAAATCAGAGATGCTAACCATTGGATATGAAAGGATTCTGACAATCCTTTCTTATCAAACACTGCTTTTTCAAAGAAGATGTGTGACTAGTAGAATTCAAATTAACCAGAAAACAAATAATAACAAACATATCTTTTCATGAAGTTTAGTTCCTTCCATATATTTCTATAAGTTATAAGGAAGTTATCCTTTAGCTATTGAAAAAATCAAAATACCAATAATCAATTATACCAAATGCAAATAATATAACATATGAAAGCAGCAATAGCTACGTCTTTTTAAAAGTGCCCATTGAACTGGTTATAACACTAGGGATTTCTGTTTTGGGATGTTATTCCAGATGATAAGCATTGCAATCACTAAAGCTTTGTATCTGGTGTCCCAGTAGACAATCCACTTTATATAAATCAATATTGTAATAGTAACAAAAATCAGGGGAACCATTCTGTATCCAATTTAATGTGATTGTTTGATTGATTTCTTACTATAATAACCAATCATGTTATTTTTTAAAAGGACAAAATAGTTTGGAGTTGAAATGTCAACACCGTATTGTTTAATTTTACAAAAAATGTTTTTGATAAAGCCATCAAAATTTGTGTGTGAACATAGTGGTCCTAAGAACACCTGTACTTCTATGGTTGTTAACTGGTGGGAAAAAAATAAACAAGCAAAAGGAAGGAATAAATGAACAAATTTCTAAACACAGGAAATTAAATAAAATGAAGATTCTTCAGGGATCTCTGCTGCCGATAGTCTTTCTGAACTTGTTATCTTTGAGGAAAGTAGTGCACAAGTTTGTGAATGATATTTAGGGTGGAAAAGCTTTAAAAACTCTAGAACAACCTCTTTAAACTGAGTAAAAGGTTAATCAAATGGCAAATTCAGTTCAATTTCTATCACTATCAAGTAAGTGATAGATTTCTTTAAGCCTGCAAAAGAGAAAGAACATTCGAAGAAAAAAAACAGAAGCAGGATATAAACAGGTCCCCATAAATGGTTTACTTAATTGAAGGTCTACTGTATCTATTTTTCTCTTCTTTCATTTAATTAATCAGTTCATTTCATTTACCATTTAGTTCACTTATATTTCAAGTTGCAATCTTCTATATTTTTACTAGCCATCATAGCTTTGGTCAATTGAGTCTTCTGCAATGGCAAGTCAAAGAACTGAATTTAGGTCAAGTGCCTGGAAGCCTGTGATTTACTAATAAATTAAGCCCATTTCTATCATTGTTTTCTCTAATAAATGATTCTGAATTTAATCCTTAAAAATAAGCACTATAATTGTTTTTGGGTCAACCCTAAACATTCATTAAATCACTGATTTTATTCATCAGTGAGTGATTCACACATACTTATTTAACATTTTAAAATGTCATTTTGCGAAGTTTGAAAACTCATTATATAGCTGGTCACAAGAGAGATATGTGAACCAATACCTGCTTTAAACTCTACATGGAACTAAGTCAAAGAAACTGAATTTGACATTTATTATTCCATGTTATTATAAAAGCATGCTATAATCCAAAAAGATAACTGTCTTAGGTTCCAGTGAAAACCCCACAAATCTCTATTACTTTTAAGATTAAAAAAAGTAATGAGAGGCACTGAAGTCCATATGTTTTAAGAAATGAAACACACACACACACACACACAATACATATATTTCAATTAATGCTAGTTATTTTGACAGATCTTTCTATTTTGCCTTTCTCTCAGAAGGCAGGTTAATCTTGTTTGCAACTGAGTTTTACTTACCACTATAGAGAAGAACATGAAAACCAAGCTGAAGATCTAACCTAAATTCAGTGTTATATTCTTACATTCCCTAATCCGTAAAAATAAAATTGGGTGAAAATACTAAAAATCTATGAATTTAAATACATTTTTAGTATTTTCACCCAAGTTCATTTTCATGGATTAGGGAATATAAGAATGTAATATTGAATTTAGGTTAGATCTTAGCTTGCTTTTCATATTTTTGACTTTCTCTATAATAGTAACTATTTTCTATGTAAATTTATTCATTTTGCATGTAAATGCATGTAAGTTCATTCTTAGTGTTAAAACTATTATATTTTGCTTTTTGTTTAATATCAATGGAGTTAATAAGCAAGTAGCATAACTAGTTTCTGGATACCACACATTCACACAAATTTTTAACAGCTCTTTGAAACTGGCAAGTAATTAATAAACAGTATTAAAAATCACTCTGAATGTTTAAAATATAAATGCTAATCATTTAACTCAGCAATTGATGTGTTATTTGTATCTCAAAGCAACATTTTTGAATGGGAAAGGAGCAGATTGTTCTCTTATGAAATGACAGTTCTACCAACCAACTTTTGCCGCTTTTATATAATAAAGTTTGATGGCAAGAATGTCGAAAATAATGCATATAAGAAATTAAATGAAAATGAAAATGTTCTCTTATTCTACTCTAAAATTTCAGCAAAAAATATTTAAAAAAATCCTAAGTGATTGACATTAAAGACAGATGATAGAAAAAATGGTTGTGTTAAGCTGGTTGATTTATGAGGGTCTCTTTTTAAATTTATGTTGACTTTATGTAGCATTAAAATTAAAATATTTAAAATTAAGTATAGCCTCTGGGAAACGGATACCGCCTCTACCATATAGCCTTCAAGAACATGACATTTCTCTCTTGGACTGAATTACACTATCAGAGAAAAGGAAACAAAGGAAGGAGTTCCTAACTATTTTTGTAATGGTTAAGAACAATTTATAGGACTTTTTGCAACATGTTGCTGATTCACAAATAGCTTGCATAAAAACATAAGCACAAATCTAATAGAACATTATATGTTATCTCCCTCTAGCTACCACATCCTGAAAAATCTATGTAAATCTTGCTTAATTTTGTCCTGTATGGATGGATACATGTGGACATACCACCAGTAAGGTCATGGTCTCCAGATACCTATAGTTTTTATTTCATAAGAAAGCTGATGGTTTACTTGGGAAATATTCTTGGGGATTATAGATGTTGCTGAAGACTGATGCTTTTTCTTTCTTTCTTGCCTGCTTCACATTTTTATTTTGATTGTTTTAATGGAAGCAGGTCAAATTGGAAGCTAGTAGTATTTGGGAGGGGAGGGTTGGACTACCCTGAACTTTACATTGGGGCACTAGAGTTGAGATACTTACATTTCCACAATATTTTCTGGTAGGTTGCCTGGAAGTTCAGTTAAACCCTTTCCCCGACAGTCCACAATATTGTTACTGCAAGTGCAAGCAGATGGGCAATTGACAGAATTGGCATTGCAGGATGGTGGTTCAGCATGTGAACCTGAAAAGGAAAAGATTTGAAATGTAGTGGGGGTTTTTTTAACGTTAAAATTGATTAGCCTGAGTGGTGTTATTGGTAGTCTAACTAAAAGATTATCACCTTTAAATGTTATGAAAAGCCATCAAAGAGAGAAGCCTTCCTTGAAAATTTATTGTCATTTAAATATTGTATGATATTTTACCCTATTTCTCTGAAAATAAGACCCAATCGGAAAATAAGTTCTAGCATGATTTTTCAGGATGCTCGTAATATAAACCCTATCCCCAAAATAAGCCCCTGTTAAGATTGTCAGCCAGGTGGATACATTTAGTATCATATTTTCTCCAAAATAAGACCTAACCAGAAAATAAGCTCTAATGCGTCTTTTGGAGCAAAAATTAATATAAGACTCAGTCTTATTTTCGGGGAAACACGGTATGTAAATGAATTATATTACAGTTTTAACTCCAAGCTTTATTTTGTTTTCTTTCCTGCTGCCTCCTTCAATGTATTTGTTCCAGACATGCTGCTGGAGCCAATCTGGAGAAGCCCCAGTGAGAGAAAGGAGGAATGTATTCCACAAGTGATATTGTTCCATTATCAGAGATACCATATATCAGTTGATATAATAGTTAGCAATGCAACCAAACAAAATCTTACATACATGTCTGTGTTCTCCTTGAGAACACAGGAATCACTCTACATATTTTTAAGATTAATTTAATAATCTTCCTAGACTCCAGATTCTATTCTTCAAAATACCTTGATGTCTGTTGAGGATTGCATTGTGTATTTTAAGAAAGGAACAAAGTACTAATTTTTTTTTTGATTCTGCCATAAAATTCTATTGCTGTTTGTTGTTAAAAAAAACCCTAAACAAATTAATCTAATATGAAAAACCAATAGTTCAACTTTCATAAAAAATGAATTCTGAAAGCCTTTTAAAAAGCCAGAAAGGAGACCAGTTCCTTCAATTCAATAGGAAGTTTCCAAAGTCAACCAAGGCTGACATTGAAAAATCTTGATTCCAAGCTGTTCCTAGTTTGTCTCCAGATGTCTTCAAGTGGTATGAAACATCATAATACATAAAGTGTTTGATTAAATAATATGGATCCAAAAAAAAAAATGAGAAATTTATACTTCATCTGGAAACGAACTAGAATCCAATGTGGCCTATTACCAATTTAAATTTGCAGACTAGATCTAAAAGCAGCCTCATGTAGACAAACCTGGAGGAATTAAAAGAAGCATCAGTGTCATAAAGTCATTTTAAGCCATGGTTTATGACTGTACCTCCTGAATTAACGCTTCCCTTTTTTCGTAGAAATGCAATTCAGAAATATGAGGGTCATTAGAATATTGATAACATTTAGTTTCAAATTATTTTTTTTAATACAATCTCTTTTATTCCCTTAGAATGTTTATATATCCCGTTTATTAATGTATGTTTAACTTTTTTTAAAGATTACCTAAAATAATCACATTTCTAAGTAGTATATAAAACACAACTATACATAACATACACAAACCAACATATTAAACTTAAAGAAAGGATATTATTTCTTGTAAGGTTTGCTTATCTGTTTGTTAAAGCATTTATTTATTTACTGCTGGGTAATACCTTTTTTTTATTGAGATGAGTACAGTTTTGTGTACAGTATTTAAAGGTTTTCTTTTTAATTACTAAGGCAATACTGATTTACAAAACAAGAATTCATTAAACATCTTCCCCACACAGAACAGTCATTTTCCAAAAGCATTCTGAATATATTATGGAAGATAATTTCCCACATTTATGTTGAAAACATTAAAATGCATTGAAAAACAGAAGTTTGATGTATCATTAACAGATATCACTGAAAAATTCTTTGAAAAAAGCAATAATAGATTGGATTAGAAAATATATTTCTATGTACATATGTGATTATGAAAGCCATCAACTGAAATATAGCCTCAATTCCCTAAAGATGAAAAACCTGAAACTCTATAACCTTGCCTGATATATCAAGAGTGTATTTGTCTCTTGATAAAAGAAAGAGAATTATTGGGATCTTTTTACTGTATGTTTCTGAAATGTCAGAGTTTCCATTGAGAATTCATGGCCTTGACACTTGAGATATTGTTAGCAAAAGTGCGACTGAAAAAAGTTGTCATCTCTCTTTTGATCTTTCAACATGACTTAGGATGTATTGGAAAAGAAATGAATGCAGGCACAGAAGAATAAGCAATTCCGGTCCATCAGTTATTAAAAAAAGTTTGTTTAACAAAGAATGCTAAAAGAAGAGCACCACTACAGAGAAGTTCTATGATCATGTATGGGTTTTTTGCATTTCTTACAAATACCAGAATCCTGTACACCAGTTTGTGTACTCTATATACATTCCTTAAGCAACATGGAATTATTCACATTTGCATAGTAAGCTGGTCCTGAACTTTGGTATGATTTTAAAATCAGTTCAAAATAATGTAAAGATCACAATTGTGTTGTGCAGGGATTTTATTCTCCTTTCTTTTGTCACAATATGTATCCACTATGCATTAAATTGAATGCCAGAACTTTACATACATTTGCTAATTTATTCCATTTGTATGCAAGTCAGACATAAAGCTCAGAAGGCATTCTCCTGAGAAATATGATTATATTATTTGGCAATTAGCCTTTTACATTAATACGATCTGAACATTTGGAAAAAAACCCTAAGCATAGAATCATTAACACAGTCCAACAGTTCAGAAAGCCTAGGAACAAATCACAGTAATTTAAAATATTATTACTCTATTTAACTGAGGCATGACTGAATTAGAATTGGCACAGAGTGACATTTAAAAGGACCAACATTACAGTAGTTTATTTCAAGTTAATGTGAAGACTGATACAAAATGAGAGAAGAAAGTGAAATAATGAGGCATTACCTGTACAGACATATTCTTTTTTCTGAACATCAGCTACATTGAACCCTCTCAGGTGAACAGGTGCCATGCAGAAGGTGAATTGTCCAACCGATCGCCTCTGGCGCAGCCAATCCGAAAGCCATGCCAGGTGACAGTCGCAGTATAAATAATTGGAATGAAGCCGCCTACAAAGGATAGAGCAGAAGGAAGGTCAGGCTTGCATTCCTCCTTACGAAAAAGGAGACAATGCCATTAAGACCCTTTTAAAATATTAATCATTCTATGTTTTGCATTGCCTTTGTGAATCAAAGAAATTGACTATAGAACAACTGGAACTTGGAAATAGATTGTATGGCACATAAGCAAGTTTATTCAATCATCATGACTGAACTCTGATAACAGATTTACTTTTGCTTCCTTGTTCAAAAAAAATGGGCAAGGAAAGGTAGCAAAAAGACGACATTCTTAAAAGGTGACAAGAAGTGAAAACAGAAGTGAAGGCAAACATTTGAATTCTTGCTTTGTCTCACACTTTCTACCCAATCCTTCAATCTTTTCTCAGAAGCCTAAGGAACTTTTGAATCATTATGGGAAGGATGCAAAGAGCTGCACAAAAATTATCAAAAATATCTTTGCCTATTTGTTGTTACTCACAGGACACCAACTATATGCCATCCAGATTAAATCCTTCCCTTTTTCGTGCATAATATTAAACAGGAACAAGGATGGCCCTTATGTTTTAACAACTTCTTACTTACAGAATATAAATGACATTTTGATATTGTAGCCCTTTTGTCTTGTATAGTTGCACTCAGTTTGTCACATTGTCTAGAAAAAAGTTCTGTTAGTAAAAAACAAAGTAGCCTGAAAGTGCAAATAAACTATCAAATATTTCATTTCTACTCTATGAGTCATGACAGGCAGGCATTAAAAGCACAGTTCCCATGACAATGCTGCCATTTCTGTTGGACAGGGTTAAACAAAGCCATCATTCTGACAGACTAACATTACATAGAACGCTGACAAACATAAAGTGCTGTAAAACATAGCCCAATCCATCCACAAAATAAATTAATCATTTCAAAGATCTTTATGCCAGGCCACTGCTGTTGAGTTCAGCAGCGGTGCCTAAACTGACAGTGTCTAGATTTGTATGTTTGCTGATGGCCTGCAGGCACTTTTTTTTTTCCCTGGGAAGCTTCCAAAATTTATGTCCTTGCTAGGATCAATAAAGTCTGAGGTCCTGACTGGCAAGGCAAAGTATGCCGGCTAGCTAGCTGTAAAAAAAATGAAGTTGGGCTTTTCTGTATCTCTTCACTGTCATCCAACAGTTATCCATAATATTAAGCTCGAATAGTACTACCACTATAGTACTCTCACTATAAAAAGCATATATATATCTATTTATCAAAGACCAGGATAAGTAAGAGAGAATGGGAAAAGACTAGTCCCTGAGATTCACATTCAAACTTAACAGTTTTTTAAAAATATATTTAGCTGCTACTGAGCCAATTAACAGTACAAGTTATGCATATTTACTGTAATTGATCTGCTTTAAATAATGGAATTTATTACTCAGATCAGGGTTATTATATTTGTCAGTAACGAACACTGAATACATTTATCTGGCAGTTCTCTAGTTGTATAAAACTAGTTTCAATTTAAGAAAAATATTTTTTTTAGCATTTTTCTTTCTCTATGCTCAATACCCAGGCTGCATTCTGGATTTTAAGCCATATCATTTCTGTTGGAATTCTGCAACATATTGAGTGCATTTAGAAATTTTCCCTTGAGACCAACCAGTGGAAAACAATCTGTCAAGTTTTAACCATTTTATAGAAATATAAAACTATCAGCCAAATTATTTAATTCGTTTTAGTCTATTTTAAATTTTGTATTTATATGTTTTATTCTATGGCTGTTCACCGCCCTGAGTCCTTCGGGAGTAGGGCGGTATACAAATTCAATAAAAATAAATAAAATAAAATAAATAAAAAACTACAATAAGGAGCAACTGGAAAAGAAGTCTCCAATATATGTGTATTAGAATTGTTTGGGTTACTTTTAATCATCAGAAGAGGACAGCCTAATATCTCTGCAGTCATTCATTGTGGCAAATACAACAGGGAAGTCAATATTAATAAAATGAGACAAAATGAATGCAGGTTAATAAATTCTATAAATATAGCTTTCTCATGGAAATGAAAGCAGATCAATGCACAGCAATTCTTATTAGTTCTAAATGAGAATGTTTAAACAAACCCATAAAACAAAACAACAACAACAATGAAAGAAATTAGGAAAGCCATAGAATAATAGATTAATCATAGCAAGAGAGAGGTATTAAGTGCTGCAATGTTATTGTACAGTTTTTCTTAATTTCAAATGAGCTTGAAATTAAGCAAGGTATTCAATCTTCCAGCCATAATGATTTTTTTTCTTAAAACATGAAAGATTGAAATTGACGGTAAAAGGTGACATTAAATGGAAATATTATTAGCCACATCTTTTTGTTTGTTTGTTTTGGTTTTGGTTTTGGTCTGATGAACACCTGAGACTGCAACAAAATAGATGAAACCTAAAATGAAAAATCTAACCTTTTTATTATCATTCAGGTCTTACAATTTTCATTAAGAGCAAGACTGCAAAGAAGCTTCATAAATTATTTGGCAGCATACACGTACTGAAAGAGCCCTTTTAAAATGAATGTGGCTGTATTTGTAGCATACAAAAGATGAATGAATATACTTTGTAATTTCTAAAGGTGTATATTTAGTTACAGCCTAAATTAAATTTCTAGAATATCCCTTTTGTGTCAGCATTCAAGTTTCATAAAATATAATTGTTAAAATTCAATATAAAAACTCTCTTTGAAATCCCATTTATGACCCCCCTTCCGTTTTCTCCTTTAATTACAGTAAAAGGGAATTAGTCAATATAAGTCTCCAGGGAACTGCATACAAGGCCATCCTTTAAATTAAACTAAAAGGAAAATGGCAGACCACCTTATTAGCCTAGCACATTTACTGATCGATTTGAAATAGACAAGATAAAGCTTAGAATATTTTTATGAAAACTCACAAAAAATATAAACACCTTTTAATTAATAAAAAGTCATATGATGCCAAAATCTATACTCCAATTTCTTGAAACTTTTCTCCTTTGGAAAAAGATAGTATTGTTTTTACTATCTCAATCTAAATGTGTGCTGATATTTATTTTTTAATTTGGAGTGGAGGGGTGTTTTAGAACTTAATTTATTTCTGTAAGAAGGGTAGGGTAAACAGTGCTATCATCTCTGCTTCTCTATCTGACAAAACTTAGTGAGAACAATTCTCTCTGGACAGCTTTCCTGTAAGATTTAATTCAAATAGGGGTATCCATGGACCCTGAAGATCATTGGCTCATTGGATAATTCAATATATGAGATCTCTCTCTCTCTCCCCCTCTCCCACCCTGTCTCTCCCCCTCTCCCACCCTGTCTCTCCTCTCTCTCTCTCTCCCTCCCTCCCCCCTCTCCATCTCTCTCTCTCTCTCTTTGTATATCTCTCTATCTCTCTCCTAGCAAATTAAAAAATCTCACATCCATCTATGTGAATTTCACCAAACTAGACTTTTACCCCCTCTTAGAAGAAAAATGAAACACTGAATGACGGAGAAACAAAAACCAGAAGAATGTTTCTGCATAGCAGTAATTGATTCATATACTGTAAGTCTAAAACCAAATTAAAGTCAGAGAGCATTGTGGATAATAAGAGCCAATGATATCTTATATATAGTACTAATGCTACGATATCTACAAGAAGATCCCACCTGCACAATTTGTAATACTCTAAACTGGAAAGTCCATTAGAAACAAAATGGAAGGATATTCTTGCATTTTTTGCACTTAAGAGGCAGGCTACAAAAAGCAGCCCCTTATTGATCTTAGTGGATGACATGTGTACTGACAGATACTATTTAACTTCAAGCTTCACAAATCTGTAATAGAAGAATTCATAGTTAAATGTGTGGAGGAGAAATAGTCTAAAACTATGGTTGCTGTTAATATGTAACTGAACCACAGAGGAGATCTCAACACTGTTAAAATTAAATGGCACCAATATTTAATTCCAAATATAATTTACAAGCAATAAAAATGAAAGGCATTCAAATATAAATCATGAATGTATTCAAGGGAATAAGAAAATAGCGTTCCTCTTGAGGCACTCTTGGCCTCTTTTACTGTATGTACGTTCAAACAATGTTGGCAACCTTCAAAGCAGTTATGCCGTATCTTTGAAGGAGAAGATACTTAGAACAAAAGGTTCAGAGGTGCTTGTTGTTTCACAAAGCACTGCTCCAAATACTTTGTGCAGAACTAGTTATTCTCAGTTGTGTGTTCACATTTATGTTGATTAAGTTGTAAAATTCACTCTATATGGCTAAAAAGAATATCTGGAAGTTGTACATCTGGTGCATGCGAGGTTAAGAAAGATTTAGGGTTTCTGAGTGACAATAGGTCAGCATTTCTTAGGATGAATTCTACTTCATTTTCCCAGACAATCATATTAAGCCGTAATATGGTTTCTTTGATTTAATATTTCTTGTACTTAATATTATTGGTAAAACAGCCCCCAATTTGGTACACTTCAAATAAACTGTGTCTTATTGTGAATTGTGGAGCTAGCCAAATTCAACAACATAAACAACAACAAAATAAAAAAATACAGATTTAAGTGTTGATTTAGCTTTGTATTCTTACCATAGTCCTCATACTCCATCAACACTGCAATAATATTTATATTTCAGCTATTTCTAATTTTTTTTATTGTTTTTCTAGCATCTTAAAGTCAGTGTTGACTCCTTGTAATTGTCTGGACTACTCCATCTTTCAGATTTTAGAAGTTGTTTGCCACTACCTCCTTCCTAGGTGGAGAGGGAAGGATTGGCCCAAGGTGATCCAGTTGATTGTATATTTAAAGCAGGACTAGAACTCCTGGCCTTCCAGTTTCTAAAGGTAAAGGTTCCCCTTGCACATATGTGCTAGTCATTCCTGACTCTAGGAGGTGGTGCTCATCTCCAGTTCAAAGCCGAAGAGCCAGGGCTGTCCAAAGACGTCTCCGTGGTCATGTGGCCGGCATGACTAAACACCAAAGGCGCACAAAATGCCCAAAGGTGGTCTCTATTTTTCTACTTGCATTTTTAAGTGCTTTTGAACTGCTAGTTTGGCAGAAACTGGGACAAGTAACAGGAGCTCACCCGGTTACGCGGCACTAGGGATTCAAACTGCTGAACTGTCGACCTTTCAATCAACAAGCTCAGCGTCTTAGCCACTGAGCCACCGCATCCCCTTTCCAGTTTCTAGCCAGGTGCTTTAACCACTACATCAAAGTGGGTGTTCATATTATAGCTGGCTACATATAAAGAGTATAAAGGCAGCTGAAAATAATGCAATTCCTCTGAGCATTGAAAACCCTGTAGTTGGGAATCCTAACTTTCCTGAAAGATTAATCTTTTGAGTAGAGTTCCACTCAGGGAATACTTCTTCCAGCAAGACGAGAAAGAAGGCAGAAAATTCCATCAATCCTTACTTTGCAGCTCTCTGATGGTTTGAGAGTCTCCATATCATACATGGGCTGAAAAAATCCATCTAACCATTAGATACCAGCAAAAAGCTAGTCTTTGTGGTAATTTGATGGTTGTGCAGAGTTTTGAAGCCAAGTATAGTCCTATTTTCTAGAACAGTGGTGGTGGAAGACCTGAAGGAGGAAAAGGATGCAGAATAATTGCTGTTCCCCCTTCTGCTCCTTTTTACAAACCTATCACCTAATATTTTTCCATATGGCTTCTTCCAAACAACAGTTCACCAACTGTTGAAAACACTGGCCTTGTACAAAGCAAGTCCTTCATATTTTGACATGACAGTCTTGGCTTCTCTGGAAAAACAAAAATGTTGAGTAACATCTACCTGGAAGGGATCCAGTTCTCTTACACTAATCACTCCCATCTCTAGTTAAGTTTCTCTATGCAATCTATGCTAAAAAAAGGGGGGGTGGAAACAAAAGAACAGCACTTTCTCTGAAACAGCTATTACATTGCCTTTGTTTTCATCAATGAATCAAGACACAAAGACCGCTGTGCCCATATATGTCAGTTGAAGCCATGAGTGATTCATGATAGAGTACTTACAAGGTTCTGATCTTTGGCATATGGTTGAAGCTGGTGAGAGGGATGCGTGAGATGTTGTTGTTATTGAGGGTACTATAAAGAAAGGAAAACAAACACAGATGGCATCAGTTGCAATATTAAGACACTGCTATTTATGGAACCAGCCTTAATCTGTTAAAAGAAAGCAACATATGAACAACTGAAGCAGATTTAGAAAGGCATTTCTCTTGTAAATAACAATAACTACATACAGATACATGCAAACAAAAAAGCTCAGAATATCTCAAGCACAACACACAATGACTAACTTTTGATTAAAATAAAGTATTCTTCATTGGAGTGACTGTAATGCATGTAATGTAAATATAATATACTACCAATAACAAAAGTGAATTGTAAAGAAGGAAAACAGAATCAGTATCTGTTCTGTTTCTATAGTTTATACTAAGCCTATGACCAAAGGAGATGTAATTTTGGAATCTTCTCCATCCCCACCTCTGTACGGAGTTTTCAGTCCTAAACTAATTATTTGGCTTCCTTTATTGGGTCTGTATCTTTTGAATATCAGTTGCTGAGGAACACAAGTAGGAGGGGTGAGGATTTGCTAGTGGACTTCTCAAAGGCATTTGGCTAACCACTGTGGATGATATTCTGGATAAAGATCTTTAACTGAATAAACAACACTCTTTTTATGTTCTTACGTATACTAAGAACTACTATAATAACAAATCAGAGAGAGGTCAAGTGGAGTAGGCTAATATTTGAATAGTAATATTATAATTAAGATACAAATCAGATAGTTACCCTTGTGTAAAGGCTAAAAGACATTCTTTTGTGCTTCCAATTAGAAGTCTATCCTCATATGAATTGCATTGCCAACAAATGTTTAATTTGTAGTCCTGGAACATCATTTTTTTTCCAACAGTGACCAAAAGAAACAAACGTACGAGTATCCAAGATATAATATTTAGAGGCAGACTGCACCTGACTAGGAGAGTCTGTTTGAAAGTACACTTCAACAGTATTCTGGGAGAATGTAATATAAGAGGAACAATTATGTATAGACTTCATATTTAGGAAAACAATAAAGGAAAATGTTTAAGACAAACCATCAACTGAACAATTGTTCTGTGTTAAACATCAGATTATTTAATTAAGATATCCTTATTAACAAAACAAGAGATTTCCACTCCAATCACATTTATTTATTTAATAAATTTCCTGGTAGTTGTAATATATTCTTTGAATATCATTTTTTCCTTTATTGGCTTTTGTGCAACCACATATAAACGAATGTGAAAATATCCGAAAGTGGGCATCAAAATAGAAAAGTTCCTGTTTTAATTCAATCACATATAGATGATTAGTGAAAGCAAAGCCATCAACCTAGTATAGATTATTTAATGTTATAAGCCATCATCAATGATTTTTCATTAATAATCCATATATATATATATATATATATATATATATATATATATATATATATATATATATATATATATATATATATCAGGGAGGTTAGCATTCGCAGTTATAAGGCTTTCAAGTAAGAGGGGAAAAGAGATATGGGAGAACTAGAATATTTCATAGTGTTCATAATTCAATGTAAGGAAGCTCAGTATATTAATGATTCTTTGGATGTATTTTCTTGTCAATACATATATCTTTATTTTACCAGATAATACTACTAGCAATTGCAGCTGATCTCAAAATAGTTAAGGAAATGCACTGAAGATATTACCTAGAATGAAATATCTGCAAGAAAATCAAACTAATCAGCACTAAGAACTCCACAGCTAAAAAAGATTAGGCCTCTTATAAAATAAATATTATAAGAGGTTTTAAAATTGAAAGTGTTCAATAGAAACAAGAATAAGAAAATTTCAGGGGGGAAAAATAGAAGTTTTGAGCACTTATGAAAGATAACCTATAACAAAATTACATACAGATTTATGACTGCTAAATAGAACTATAATAACTGTAAGAGAATATTCATAAATTTGCATAAGACAAAGGTAACCAGATCAAGGTGAAACTCATGTTAACAAATTACTGAACCTCCATTGTAAAAGATGCCCAGAGTAAGCTTTAGAATAATTTTGAGTCAATAAAACAATAACTTTTTATTTATATTTTTATTGTATAATAGTTATACAATACAGTTACACAGTTATAGTTATTATAAAGCAAGTGCTATAAATACAACCAAGGAAGAAATTAAGTTTTTTTTTAATTTAAAGTAGATCTTTGTAAAATTACACATGAACAAACAACTGGGTTTCCCCTTATCTTAAAAAAAGATAATACTAAATCAATAAAAGTGATTAAATTTCCTGGTCCAGATGATTATCCCATTGTGTGGTATAAGACAGAAGTCAGTATGTGAGGTTTTGCTCTAGTATTATTGGAAATCTATTATGGTGCGTTTTAATGGGGCTCTTTCCATGAGACTTATACAGTATAACTGTTGTTGTTTGCTGCCCAGAATTGTTTTTAATGAGATGGCAGCTATATAAATGTGCTAAATAAATAAATAAATAATGGTGACTTTGAAGACTGGTAAGGAGTACTACTGATTTTGTTTGTTTGTTTGATCTCAAAACTTTGTGGCTCATGTCTCAGTCATCTCCCAATTGGAATATCGCAAGGCACTCTACATGGAACTGCTCTTGAAAACCTTTAGGAATTCCAAACTTGTTCAGAATGGAGGCACACGCACAATTCTGGATACCTCACCCTTTTGCCTGAATTATAGTACTGTTATGTGAGTTGCAACATACCGTCAAGGATATCTGCCTATCTCACTGGAATAGACAGGAGCTATATTCCAAATCCATCTATCCATGATAGGACCTTGGAGGCATGCCTTCTCTCTAGTTGTACCAGGCTTTTATAAAACCTTCCACTTGAGAGTCAAAGTATAGTGGTGAAGATCTGATTCTTACTTCAAGCATTGGGCTAAGTTAGGAGCTGAATCAGAAAATTAAGAGGTTGACTGGTCTGGCACCTTGTGGGAGAGGTTATTTTTTTATTATTATTCTTGTCTTTACTGATTGTTATGAGTCACTCAGGATTGCAATGTGAAAGCTATGTAAGTTTTTCAAATATTATTTTTTAAAAAAATCATCCTTGGTCATCAACCCATAATTCTTTTAAGGCCATTTCAGTTATCTTCATAATCACTCCCATTTCTCTTATCTATTGTCGTTCCATTCTTCTTCTACTTCTTCCTAGCCATGCAAGTATGATTTCCTCTACTTCTCTCAACTTTGCCAAAAGTAATAAAAATATTACATCTTGGTGAGCAAATGACTAATAGTGAAAGATTGAAAGCCAAGTATATTTACATATAGTTGCCAGTGAAAACATCAGGACTGATTCCCAGGGAGTGAATAAACTGTCAAAATTGCTCCACTAAATATAATTAAAAGGAACATGACAATTCCATTGCTCTTAGATGGATAAAGCAACACAAACAAGTCTAAGCCATCCAGGGATAATATAGTTGAGTGTTACAGCTTTCTAATTATAAACATGTTATGACATATTATAGTCCTTGAGAATTATTCCATGTCATGGTCAAGAATTAAACTTTTCAGCAGTGATAACAAGGAATCAAGATAAGATTATTTTCTTTGCCTGTATTAAAATATGTGAGAGTTGACAATAATAATACAAGACTGATATTGTGTTGAAACAAGTTTACAATGACTTTGTGGTATCATACAAAAATCTGTTAATAATTTCACATGTTTCCCAAGCCATAATTTATGATGCAAATAGGTCTATTTCCTCTTGAAGAAATGATACGTTCAAAGCTTTTACTCAAAGGAAATGTCTATGCATCAATAAAATATGTACAATTTACCTTCCATATACCAGTTTTGAACAGAAAGATATTTTATAACTCCTTCCTCTTCAAGGAGTTGGGTAAGAGTTAAAGAAAGACTTGTTTCATGAATATAACAGAATTGAATTTTCTGTTGCATTTTATTTCTGAAGCCGATTACCCCAAACAACTAATCAAATTGACAAATGATATGGTAGATTAAATTTTTGATTAGTGCTTGTTCAGCACTAATGAGCATCTAGCATAATTACCAAAGAGCTGTTATCCATTCAAGCCCCTGGATAATAAGCACTAGGACTGTATATGGCATTTGGCTCTACTACAACCATCAGCAACGTTTTAATCTGTAAAGAAATACTGAAACACAAGCGCTAGGCAGAACAGAACACAGCCTATGCATCTTTATTTACTTTCTAATAAGTCATTTGTAAATGTGAGAGGGTGTGTGCACTTACTTATTACCCGTCATATTTAGAAATAAGTCTAATGCAAGCTACTGCTCTTGAGGAAAAAGAAGTGATAGATTGTATTTGTTTTAGTTAGGTGAAAGGGAACAATTCTGTACCGTTTGTTAAAAGCTAAATAATTGGTTCAACTATCCTTGTGTTGATACAAGCTTTGTGTTTTGCTTAGAACAACAAAATACCCACACTTATCATATATTCACGCTTAAGCAGTTTAATACGACCATATTATTTGTGTGTCCATAGATTTGACATTTTTTAAGTTTCTCTGCAGGTTTCTTACTACTGACTGTGACCAAAGAAAGAACCAAATTTTTCTCTGCTCTATATATTAAAGATACCGGAACACTTTTATTTGATAATTCACCCAGCTTTTTTAATGTAAAGGAGAGAATGATTTAAAACCAGTTCCATTACCTACCAATCATTATCTTATAAACTACATAAATCCACAATCAATATAACTTGATTATATTAGAATTTAATTCCTTAATATGTTAGGAAACTGATGATTTCACTCCTTTATCTAGTTGTAAGACTTTATTTCCTAAATATATCACACATAGAACTTGGAGTCACAGACGGGTATCTATATAATTCTTTGAGATTTTGAAAACATCCTTGCTAAATTGTTTCAAAGTTGTAAAATATATTTTATCATTTATTCCTATTAATGATGAATTTTTAAAACAAATTGTCCTTAGTGCAATGAAACAGACCTGATTTGGATTTGATAAGTATAAAATATTAAAATAAATCTGCCTTTTTAAATACAT